TTCGGGCAGGTGTGCCCGCCATCGGGCTGACAACCGCGGCACGCGCTCGGCGCGCTCAGGTGGAGCGGCCAGCCCCATCTGCAAGGACAGTCGTGGTTGCTCACCTCCGCCCAAGCCTACGCCCACCTCCTGCGACGTGGTGCAAGTGTCCTCATCGCCTGGCGACGCCTCCTAGTTGAGCTGGATCGCCCCTTGCTTTGGTGCCCAGATGAGGCCGGCCGTGGTGTGCCCTGCCGCGCCGTATCAAGAGGCCTCCCCTCGCACAACGATGCAGGACATAATCGAGCTGCTCCCATCGACTCCTCTTGTGCATCTTTGCAGCGCTGCTCCACCACCACTGATGCTGACTGCTTCAATCTCCCATGCCTCGCCTGCTGACCTAGAGGCGGAGCCGACAACTCCGATTTTCATTCCGATGTCAAGCCCACCAATTAGTCCTGCTGTGACTGGTTCTGATGAACCTCTCGTGCAGTCCCCGCTGTTTGTCACCCGTGCTCCACCCCTGCTGCCTGCACCGAACTCTACACCACCGAGGCTGCCCAGGACAAGGAGGAAGACACTCGTGGGTGTGTCGGGCTTCAACCTCAGCCGACGCAACCCTCGGCTTCAAGCAAAGAAGAGAGCCTTGCCGGTGGCGCAGATGGCAGAGAGGCTTCTCTGTCAACGCATGGGCATCATCAATGAAGGACAAGAAGTTACTGAAGAAGCCATCAGGAAATTTGTTGCCATGTTCAATGGGCAACTTCCGGACATCACAGTGGCGGCCCTTCGAGCCCTCTTCAACCTTGACTGTGACCTTGCGAAGGCCGTCGAGGACGCACTGGTGGAGCATGGAGGCGAGGCTGGAGCAGAGCTGCAGTCTGCGAATGGAGAAGTGGCCGGTGAGGCCGCGTGACTGGACTGCTTTGGTCACTGATGATGTAGCTTAGTTCTATATGTTAACTAAGGCCTACTGTTGCTTTTTGTATGTGTGGGTGTATGCATGTTTCCTGCTGTTGATGAAGATAGCTACCCCTTGTTGCCCTGGCAAGGCGAATATATGTGAGTCATGTAGTTGTTGTAGCTTCTGTTGTTACCTGATGATGCACTTTCATTATCACAACTTCTCCTACCTGAAGATGCTCAATGGAGTCTGTCCTAAATGTCCAAGGCAGTTCTTACTTGATGTGTCACTTCTTGTTACTCCACTGATGATGTATCCCAGGTTTCAATATGCATGATCAAGACCTGAGTATTCTGAACTGGAATGTTCGTGGCTTAAACTGTCCCAATCGCCGCGCAACTATACGAGAGACCGTCGCTGCTACGCCTTGCCATCTAGTATGTCTACAGGAGACCAAACTCGAGCACGTCGACCCCTTCATGGCTTCCTCTCTTGGAGGTCAGAGGCTCAAAGGCTTCGCACAACGACCTGCTACTAGTACTCGTGGTGGCATCCTGCTTTTGTGGGACGAAGACCTCGTCGAGGTTAAGGACATTAACACTGGAACTTTCTTCCTCTCTGCTACAATCACCATTATCCGTATCGACACTTCCTTCAAGTTCACAACCGTCTATGGACCAACTCGCAGCAACCTCAAAGACATTTTCTTCCAAGAGTTGATCTCTAAGAAGCCTACTCCTGGTACTAGATGGCTGCTAGCCGGTGACTTTAATCAGATTTATCGCACAAGAGACAAGAACCACGGTAACAGTAATCGGAGCCGCATGACACGCTTCCGTAACACCCTCAATACCTGTGAGCTGAAAGAAATACACCTACAAAACAGGAAGTACACTTGGAGTAATGAGCAAAGTGATCCAACCTTATGCAAACTCGATTCGTTTTTCTGCAATGAAGATTGGGACATCGACTTTGGCAGTCATCTACTTCATGCCCTCTCTTCATCCCTCTCTAACCATTGCCCTCTCCTCCTCGCAAATGTCCAAGGGCCACCTAAGTCAAAGTATTTCCGCTTTGAGAATTTCTGGACTAAAATGCCTGGATTCAAGGAGATCGTTCAAGGCGCTTGGAACCAAAGGGTGAACCACTCTGACCCCTATCAGATCCTATTCCACAAGCTCAAGAAAACCAGCCAAGCACTAAGGAAATGGAGCAAGACGATTTTTGCACACTCAAAGGTGCATCTGTTCATGGCTCTGGAGGTCATTCTCCGCCTAGATGTGGCACAAGAGCTCAGGCCTCTCAGTGTGGAGGAGCGTGACATTCGTAGGAGGCTCAAAAGAAAGATTATTGCCCTGGCTGTGATGGAGCGTGCCCGAAAGAGACAGAATTCAAGAATCATCAGCCTCAAAGAGGGTGATGCCAACACTCGTTTCTTTCACCTGCGGGTCAATCACCGAAGAAGAAAGAACTTCATTCACCGTCTGAAGCACAACAATGGCTGGGTGGTGGACCATGATCACAAAAAGTCCGTCATCCAAAACCACTTTGCCGAGGTCTCCTAGCGTGGCCCGCCATGCCATCAAGACATCAACTAGGACAACATTCCGGTGCCTGCAAGTGACCTTTCAGATCTTGGGGTGGCCTTTACGGTGGAGGAGGTTAGGAAGGCAGTTTTTGACCTTCCCCGTGACAAAGCGCCAGGGCCCAATGGCTTCTCTGGAGCTTTCTTCAAAGAGTGTTGGGAGATTATCAAGGATGACATTATGATTGATGTGAACCACTTCTCAAGCTTGCACACATCCAATCTTCATTGGCTCAACTCGACCAACATTGCTCTCATACCAAAGAAAGATGGAGCGGAATGCATCTCGGACTTTCGCCCCATTAGCCTCACTCACGCCATTGCGAAGATCCTAACAAAGGTGTTGGCTACGCGCCTAGCTCCCCATATGGACAACCTTGTCTCCAGTGCGCAAAGCGCCTTCATAAAGAAGAGAGGCATTCACGATAATTTCATGTATGTCAGAAACTTGGCGAGGAAACTTCACAGAAATCGTACACCCACCCTGTTGTTCAAGCTTGACATCAAGAAGGCTTTTGACTCAGTTAGATGGGACTTCATTATGGACCTCTTGAGGCACCTGGGATTCCCGTCCAGATTTCGCGATTGGGTTTCGACACTACTCTCCACTGCCACCTCGAGGGTTCTTATCAATGGGGTGGTGGGTGATTCGATGAAACACGGATGTGGCCTCCGGCAGGGTGATTCTTTATCCCCGCTGCTCTTTGTCCTGGCAATCGACCCCCTGCACCACCTCCTCACCAAGGCCACCGCACAAGGACATCTTCAACCCATCTGCGGAAGTGCCCCAACCATCAGGACGTCCTTGTACGCAGACGATGTTGCCATCTTTGTCAAACCCACCAGGGGTGACATCCAATCCCTTGCTTCCTCCTTGGCTCCTTTTGGAGAGGTGACCGGCCTGCATTCTAACTGTACCAAAAGTTTGGTGGCTCCTATTCGCTGCGACAACATAATTTTGGATGACATTCTCGAGGCCTTCCCGGCGGTGCGCACAGCATTCCCGATGCGGTACCTTGGCCTTCCTCTATCGGTCAAGCGCCTCAAGAGCATTCATCTTCAACACCTTGTGGACAAGGTCGCATGCAAGCTCCCACCATGGCAGGGAAGACACGTCGCTACTGCTGGGCGTGTGGTGCTTGTAAAGGCGGTCCTCATGGCCATTGCAATTTATCATCTCACGTCTCTCGACATCCCTGTGGAGATCCTTAACGTGATTGACCGACTTCGGCGTGCTTACCTTTGGGAGGGTACCGGCAAAGTCTCGGGAGGGTCATGCACGATCAATTGGGACCTCGTCTGCAAGCCTAAACAGTTTGGTGGCTTGGGTGTGCTTAATTTGAACAAATTCGCTAAGGCCCTCCGACTTCGATGGCTATGGTTCGAGTGGGTGGACAAAAGCAAGCCTTGGGCTGGCATGGGGTCTCCATGCACCGAGGACGACCGCAAATTTTTTGCGGCTGCTACAGTGGTGATTGTGGGAGATGGGCGCACGGCCAGATTCTGGCACTCCCCTTGGTTGCATGGTCTCTGCCCCTGTGACTTAGCGCCGAACATTTTTGCCATCTCCCGCAAGAAGAATTCCTCCGTCCAGCAAGCCCTCACCAACAACAGCTGGATCTCCCTCATTGACACCTCCAATGGCCTATCGTTTGCACACGTCCAACAGTTTGCCGACCTCTGGGAGAAGATATCCATGATCTCTCTGAATGATGACATAGAAGATTCCATCACCTGGAAGTTCACCAAGGACGGGGTGTACTCTGCTTCGTCTGCTTACAAGGCACAATTTGAGGGTCTCACATCGTCCGATCTCGTTCACTCTGTGTGGAGGGTTTGGGCCACCCCTCGGTGCAAGTTCTTTGCTTGGTTAGTCCTTCAAAACAGGATTTGGACATCGGATCGTCTCATACGTCGCGGATGGCCAAACTGTGGCCTCTGCCCACTTTGTAAGCAATGCCAGGAGTCAGCGGCCCACCTCCTCTTCCAATGCCGCTTCACCATCCGCATTTGGAACCATATTCTTACGTGGCTTGGCATGCACCACATTTCTACGACGATATGGCAAACGAGGACTTCGGTGAAAGACTGGTGGAACGACAACCTTCAGATTCGCCTTGGCTCCCCTAAGGCGCTAGCCTCCTTGATGATGCTTATCTCATGGGAGATATGGACGTAACGCTAGGGTCTCTCGAAACACAGCCATCCCTTCCATGGTCCTAATCTGTAAGATCAAAGAGGAGGTGTCTCTTTGGGCAGTGGCAGGTGCAAAGCACATGAGTGTTGTAATGCCGCGAGAGTAGACACTTTATTTTACCGCCTTGCGGCCCCTGTTCGATAACTTCTTTCTTAATCAATGAAATGGCAAATCTTTTGCCTTGTTTAAAAGAAAAACGAACACCAACCCGTGGCCGCCAAGCAAGAAGGGAAGCCCGAAGCCAGCCGTGCTGTATGCATATATAAATATAGGCCATCGGCCCCTCCGATCCTCACGCACAGAATCCACCGAGCAAACCAAGGAAACGAACGAAGATGCGTCGCGAGGGACGGCGGCGAGGGTGGGTGCGCGTGTACGACCGGTCATTGGTGGACCCGGAGGGCAAGCGCCGCGCCGTGCATGTCGTAGACGGCCCCGTGGTGGCCAACGGCGGCTACATCAGGGCGTCCCGGAGGCCGACCAACCAGTCCAAGTCGGGCGGCCTCCGCGCGCTCGGCAGGGACGCCCTCGTGCAAGACGACGAGGAGGAGGAGCCGCAACTGCATCCGCCGCTGGGCGCCGGACATTCTGGGTACTACTGCACAACCACGTGCCAGTCACCCTTCAGATTCGAGGCTGTGCCATATCAATGGAGGTACGATGCCTTCGCGCCCGAGGAAGTGCAAGCTCCTCGGCCGCCGCCGGCAGCAGCGCGTTCCGGGGGGAGATCGGCGTCGCGCAAGGGGAGCCGCAAGTTCAAGCACAGCGAGATCAAGATGTACTACCTCGACGCGGCCGATGTCGTTGATGGGCGTCTCGATTATCTCTATTGACTTCGATTCATGATTACTTTTCTCCCTTTGTTTTCCTAAGTGAAGTTCAGCAAGAGGAGTTGTAAACTAGATCCGGTCGATGTGTGTATCTTTGTCCCTTTTGTTATAAGTGTATCCAATGCAGGTGCTTTCTCTATTGAAAATAAAGACTTCGTTACGAAAATACTCCATGACATTGTACTCCAACTCCATAGAATCTTTTAACGTGTTGATCTCAAATTAAAAGTTGAAATTTTGGTAGTGACAGCCTGAAGCATTATTTTAGTTTTTTTTTCCTGGAAAAAGGCTTTTCGTTTTTTTTTCATACTTTTTGTGAGGAATCTTCTGTAATTAGAGGCACTGGACTTTTCGTGAGGAATGACAAAATTTTGAACAATTGGCATGAGGGAATATCAAATGTCCACCGTCAAATTATTCATGGGGTATGATTCAACTGATTGTTTTGCTTAAAAGGACAATGCAATACTCATCTCAATTCTCAAAGTAAATTTTTTGCACTTTTTTAGATAAAAGACGCCTGCCCGACTTTAGGAGGACGAAGCTAGAACCCAACTAGGGCGGACGAGCTCGGTCTCTACACTACATTCTCTGTTCCCCGAATAGTTTTTCTCTCACTGTTAGTGGTTTTAGCTCAGCAAAAATTATGCTCCCTCCGTACCACAATTCTTGTCGTAATTTGAAATAAAACTACGTCAAGAATTATGAAACAGAGGAGTGGCATAAACATCATATTGCACTTCCAGATCAACTCAAACTCCAAAAATTAGGTTGATTATTTCTGCACATATATTAAGACAAGTTACCACACAAGCGGAAGAAGAATTGACTAGATAATAAGAAAACCTGCCAAAACTAGCACATCTTCAACATGACGCACATCAACAAAACTGATGACTATCACATCCCAGATTTTTCCCAAATATGGAATGATTAAAATTTCACAGGAAATTAATTTTTTTTTCTAGAAATGCTTTTTTTTTCCTTTAGTGATTTTTGAGGGATTTTTACTTTAACTATAATTTGACTAAGAGACTACTGTTTGTGTGAAAGTATGGCCCAACTGAACCTTGGGGATTAAAACCCAAAGTGGAGCCGGCAGCGTGTTCCCGGGGAAGAGCGTCGTGCAAGGCAGTGACGGAGAACTTTTTTAGCTTTTTGGCCCCCCAGACAATTGTATTCTATGTTTCGTCCCCAGCACATGCTGTCTAGCGCCGCCACTGGTGCAAGGTACCTCGACTACCGGAGCTGCATCTTCTCCTTCGCCGCCCGCAGGGTCATGTGAGCATCCGTCTGTGCGCTGTAATTAAGTTCTCGCCGGCATACCGTACATAGCTAGTAGAACTCAAAGTTCCTCTTCCCTGTCTTCATGGTCGCTGCGCAGTTGATCTTGGCACTGCAATTAGTAATTACCTCAAGCATGATGCGGCGATGAAACTGGTGAAGCTCGGGACAATCATAATGGCCATCAAGTATATATTCTTAGGCATCTTTTGTATATCACTTTGCTCTCTTCTATAAATATATGATACGTCTTTGAAAAAAAAATAACTACTCGTAAATGCATGTGTACGTGTTGAGGACCCATCGATTATCATCAGCTCAGCTCATGCTCGGACCTACAGTCTTTTCTTCTTGCACACGCCACGCTCAACTCGGACTCCTGGAACCCCATCTTCCGACACCACACGAGTGACACGACGCTGTGAGTTTTTGTGTCGTATATTACATACGAGCTGGATTACATACGAGCTGGATTATGTTCAGACTTGCCGTTATCGTGTTGTGTTTGCTTGTTTCTCGATGGATCGACTACATACCTCGGATCTGAGAGAGAGAAAGAGAGAGAAAGATCCCAAATTCTGGCCGGTCAGGGCCATGCCGTCGCCTCCGCTCGCTCCCCGAATTCCAAATTTGGGAAGCGATCGACGGCCATTCCATCCATGCAACGTTCTCCTCTCCTTCTCATGGGATGGACACATGGGCGATCGAGGTCGGGCATGCATGCAATCCGCCGGACGGTCGACCGCCTTAAAAGAAACATGATTTTTCTTTTCTTTCTTTCATTCATTTTTGTTGGATTCGATCCATCGCAGGTCGCTTGGTTTCGTGCGAACCAACCTATGGTTGGATGATTAGAGGGACAGTGGTATCACCAGCCCACCAGAGTTCAAGTTTTGATGCTCGCATTATTTTTGGATTTATTTCAGAATTTTCGGCAATGTGCTTTAAGTGGAAGGAGACGTTTCTGTCGACGACAAAGCGTCTATGATGACTTCGTAAATCTCAAGATAATCTGAATATATGCACGTATGTATGAGTGCTTGCATCTGTACTGATGTTAAAGAAAAGATCGTTTGGTTTCGTTACAAGGCCAAACATACATACTCCCTCCGTTCCGTTCCGTGTTAAAAACTCTCTCTTATATTCTTGCAAAAAAAAACTCTCTTACATTATAGGACGAAGGGTGTAACGTATCTACCGAGCTTTCATTTTAATCCACGCTTTGTACTTTAGGTGAATCTTTATAATAGATTTAACCCGTTTCGCAAAAATAAAAGTTAGCTAGGCAAAAAAAAGGATAAGAGAAAAAATACTGCTATCCCACGAGGCACTTTCCTCGGTCGTGAGCACAAAGCTATGGTACACGTATATACTCCCTTCATTACATAATATAGTACGTTTGTGCTTCTCGAGATTCAAATTTGATCGTAAATTTAACTAACGAGATCGACTGCGGCGGGAGCAAAAATTATATCACTGAATTCATATCGAAAATACGAATTCTGTGATATATCTTTTGCTCCTGAATTAAGTGGTATAGTTTTTTCTTCCATCGCAGTCGGTCTCATTGCTTAAATTTACGGTCGAAATTGAATCTCAGGAAGCGTGAGCGCACCACCTTGTGAAATGAAGGAAGTATTACTATCACACGCCGACTTGGAACGACTGCTTGTGTCCCGTCACTGATCGAGGTTGATGTTGCCTAGAATACAAATTGATTTTTTTAGACAGAATAGAAGGTCTGTTTCTCTACTCCTATATGTTCAAAGTCCATGGTGAAAGTATCCTTTGGTAGCAACTGCTTCGCGCTCATTGGTTCAGCGAGCTAGTGATCTCCATGGAGAGTACGTGCGTACTGATTTGACGCCGGCGAGCAGCGTGTGTGTCTAATAACTCGATGGGATGTAGGGTAGGGTGTACTTACAGCGTCGAGGTCGATCCATCTGACGCCGGCGAGCAGCGCCAGTAGCAGGAGGCCGCCGATCACCGGCCCCACGGCGCCCTTCGACGGCGACAGCAGCGGGGTCTTCCACCACGGCTTCGTCGTCGTTGTGGTCGACGATGACTGGCGTTCAACAGTCGTCGTATCAGCAGCGGTACCGTCGTTGTCTCGTCGACGACCATGCGTGGCGCCTCGTCAGCCTCCTGAGGCGGCACCAACGCCGCCCCCTCTTCCTCGTCGCCCGCAGGGATCAGGCCGCAGCTCTTCATCGGCAGGCGATCAAGCTTACGTTAGCGTTGTGGCAGGTTACTCTATCTCCCTCCTCCTCCTCTCTCTCTCTCGCTCGCTCGCTCTCTCTATATATAGTGTTACTATTCATACCCAGTGTGCATAATACATTATTCTTCACCCGAGCTAATATTATAATCGCTTCATAAATAAATTACGTTTGAAATACAAATAGTTATATTCATATTGATTCACTACGTAAAATTTTATATAGGAAAATAAAAAAATAGGTTATAAAAACAGAAATATCACATTTTATGTATGTTTTACACTATGTTTTTACGTTCGTAATTTTAAGTAACATAAAATATTTTTACGACGAATACATATTTTCTTATGTTCTTTTTTTATGTATGAAATAAGAAAAAAATTACGAAACGTAATAATACGGTGCATTGACGTCAAAATAGAGAGGAGGTGAAGAATAACTATTCCTCACTCAGGGTGACGAATATATATATATATATATATATATATATATATATATATATATATATATATATATATATATATATATATATATATATATATATATACTCGACCCGAAATGAACAAAAAATTACTGCAGTTCGTCGGAAAATTAATACTACTACCATCAGCGAGATTCACAGCACATATGCTTTTGCCATTTCGCCCACAACTTTGTTCCCAGATCCTACACGGCGGCATCCCCAGGTAATCTACCCTGTCACGCGATCTCCCCTCATAAAACCTGACTGGTTTGGCATTGGCATTGGCAATAAAGAAAGAGCGCTGATATGCACATGATGTTGTGGAGATGATTTTTGCACGACAACGTATATGAGTTCGTGATTACCATCAAAGTGCGAGCTGATTTGTGCACGACACGCATATCAGTTCGTGATTACGATCAAAGTGCAACAGAGGACTGGATTACCGATCGTGCCGCTGTCGTGCAGGCATGCATCATGCGCAGATCAGTTTCGATAAAGAAAAGGAATAATTGCTGGAGTACAACATTTGTTTTGATCAGGGTCATATGGGTGTAGCACGTGGCTGAGTCAACGGTCTGTTTGGCCATAGTGATGGAGGTCCATCAATACACGTGTGTCTTTTTTTTACGAGGGTAATAGTGTTTTATTTCATAATTATAGAGTTACAGTCAAGAGGTAGAAATTTCTTAGTGCATGGGAGCTGCCTATGTAGCCACACAGTTGTGCTACACTCTATACGGTTATATCTCGTCAAGCAATTGGCTACTCTATTCTAATTGATGAAACTTTTGTGGAATAAACATCCGGTTCTCTCTCAGGGACTTGATCTTCAAAGCTAGATGACCGTACAGAGAGCGAACAAGTGATTCATCTCTAAATATCGATAAAGCCATAGATGAATCGGACTGCACGGCAATTGGAAGCTTAGTGTATTGCATGGCCAAGACCATGCCCTGCATCAAAGCATGTATCTCTGCTTCTAGTGCATCATTACAATGGAAAAGATATCTATAAGCAGCAAAGATGACTATTCC